GATGGAATTTTTTTCCTCCTCCTTTGCTTGATCTTATAAACTAATTCTAAAGTGATTTTATGGGTTTTAAGGTTGTCTAAGATGTTTTGAAGAGTTGGTTTAGTGGTTTTCCTTTTAGTTGCACTTTCTCTCTCTTTGGTGTAACTTGAACTCTCAAAATTTCAAATCATTTCCTCCTCTCCTAGCTGAATTTAAAGGGAAAAAATCCCCTTGGATTAAGCTATGTGTGTCACACTTGGATTAATCTCAAACTTCTACATTAATTGTTGTTCTAGATTCTTCTTCATTTTTCCTATTTTCTTCCTCTTGTTTTTTTTTTTTAAATTTTTAGCTAGATTTTTCTCTTCCTTTCTTCTCCTCTTTTTTCCTACTTACTCTTATCTTTTTCTCTTCAATTTTCTAGATTTTTCTTGCTAGAATTAGTCTCCCAAAATCAATTAATAAATCCTCCAAAATATTAACACGTTATAGTTTATTTCTAAACTTTTAATTGCTTCATTCGGGTCCTTTAAATCCTTCAATTTTAGTTCTCAAAATTTTAATTTTTCTCAAATAAGCCCTCGGGAAGGGTATTTTCAAATTACAAAGTGGTTACTTAAATTTCTTAATCATTTTAATCGAGCACCCAAACTATTAATTATTGTAATTATTTTGATAGGTTTCGCAATTATGTCCCTAGGTCAAAGCATAACCATAATAATTAAGGGTGTAAATTTCTAATTCAAACTTTAATTAATTCATTCACCTTCCATTATAATGATGCTTTTATTTAATTTTACCTTCCATTATAATCATACTTGTATTTAATTTATTCTTAAAATAAGTATAAAATTTCATTCCTCAAATTAATAAATATTTTTTTTATTGATTAACTAAATTATATTTATAATATATTTTACATCTAAGGAGGATTTTAGGTCGGAGATATTACATTGGGCAAGGAGGAGAGGGAAGAGTTTTTTTTTTTTTTTGAAGGTTTTAAGATGATTTCATCTTCAAACAAACCTAAGGTAAGTGTAACTTCAACTCATCACAAGAACTAGAGTAGTTATGTATTGATTTAGAGATTTGTGTGCTCGTAAAACCTAGGGTTTCTAATTAGGTATTTGAATGAATTATGTGCAATTGATGCTTTGATTGTGAAATTGATGAATGATTGACTAATTGTGATGTTATGGCAAGAGTTTACTTGTTAATTGAAGATGTGTATTGTTGTATCCTTGCATCAAACTAGGGAATGGTAAATCCTAGTGGCTCTAGAGATTGGGTTAGTGGTTAAATGATAACTTTACATGATGATGATGATGGGTACATATTAAATTGATGATTATGAATTGTGATTATAATGGGTAAGTATGTAATTGATGATTAACCATGATATTGATGTTGGATAAATGATTAATTATGGATTGAACAATTGAAAGGATAACTTTGTTTGGTGATGCATGACCTAGAGGTTTTAGAGTTGGGGTTATGTAATTAATTGATGATTATATAATTGAGTATAAGTTTAATTAAGGTTTGATCACTTGATAATTTATTACTTGTGTTTATGGGAATTTGCTTGATATTGGCTTTATGGATAAGTTTGATAGTGAGATATGGATATAAATTATTGTTGAGATTGTGGGTTCTTTTGATGATGGAATGATTGTGGAGTTCTTAATTGATGAATTTTAGGTTATGTGAATTACTTGATGATGAATTCAACTTGATGAATGCTTGTGATATTTATTATTGGGAATGATTTCAGATTAGGAGTCCATGGACTCACTTGTTATTGTATTGTGATGATTTAATTGTGTGAGGTATGTTTAGTCATGGATTCGAATTTGGTGATTTGGTGTTGTTGTTATTACTTGAGTTTTGCTTGATGATTTATCATTTGAGTGTATGATTCTACTTTTAGGACATACTTGATGATGAATTGATTGTGAGGAAACTTGATGGTTTTGACTTTGGCATATGCTTGTTGTACTTGTTATTAAAAGTTATGATTGCTTAGTTTGTAGTTGAATAATTGGATAGTTGTATTGATGTAAGATGATTCAGCTTAAGTGTATGCTTGATGGATTTGGTTTGTTTGTGGATACTTGATTTAGTGGTGGTATTGTTGCTTGATATAATTATGTCATGTGTTGTTTATGTGGTTGTTTGGTTTAAGGGATGATTTTGAATTAGTTATTAAATGGAGACTTTATATTATGAAGTGATTGGGTAAGTAATTAATTAGAAAATGACCATTATATTAATGATAGGTATGTATTTAATTACTAATGTAACATGGGTGTTGTGGTATTTATGTGAAAATTGGAAATTCTTAGATTTGGACTATATGACTAAGTGTTGGTTAACTTTAATTGATGAATATACTTGGTTATGGTGATTGATACATGAATTGATGATTATACATTGTGATGGTAATGATATGTATTTAATTGAAGATTTACCATGATATTGACGTTAGGTATGTAATTAATTATTGATTGGATTTATTGAGATGAGCAATTTGGCTAGGGTTCATTGGTGTTTTATGCTTGTTGAAATTCGACTTGAACTTGATGAATGCACGATTATGTGGAAGCTTAATGGATTTGTTTTGCTTATGAATACTTAATATTGGAAATTATGGTTGATTGTAAGAAACTTGATGGATTCGACCTAAGTGTATGCTTGTTGCAATTTGGCTTTTACTTGTGTATTGGATAATGGTGTTGTTGCTTGATGGAGTTAGTTTACTTACCGTTATTTGGTTTGTTGGTTAAATGATTAAATGGTTGTATTGGTGTGAGATGACTTGGCTTGCTGAATGAATTCGGCTAGAGTTAAGTTACATAGTTTTGTATGCTAGTGTAAATGGATAAATTGAACACTTACTTGGCTTGGACAAATGAATGATGTTGGTAATGATAGATAATTCGACTTAGGTGATGTTTTGCTTATGATTGTTTGGTTTGTTAGACGGTTATGGGTTAGGTAACTACTTAATATCACTTGATTGTGTGTTTAGGTGTTTAAGGGATATTTGAATGATTAAGATGTTCAAAGATGATTCGACTTAGATAGGCTTAAATGAAAAATTTGTGCTTGGGATGCCATGTGATGAATTCGACCAATGGCTATGGAATTGTTTGAGGTTGTTATGGCTTGATGGATTTGGAATAAGGGAAATAATTGAGGTAGCTTGGATTATGTTCATTGTTGGTTTTTGTTTGATGTTAGAAGGTTGTATGCTTGTTGTGCCATGTGAGGGATTTGGCCATATATTATTTTAGGTTATTTTCACGAATTGTTGATGACATATGAGTTATGTTCATGGTTATTTAAAGCTAGATAGTTTTAGCCTTGTCATATCATGTTAATTTTATTGATGGTTGGTTTAGACTTGATAATATTTGGCTTTATCATGCCATGTGGAATGTATCTAGGAATGGCTTAGTACCACATGATTCATGTTCATGTTTATGCTTGATATTACATTCTAATTGCATTCATGCTATGAAATATTTTATGTCATGATTTCAAGCATTCAAGAAAGGACATGGTTTTATGAGGACATGACATGGCTAGGCATGTTCAAGTGGGATAAGGAAAATGATCAATCCTTGTGAGGTTCATTGAATTGAAATGTCTAGAGTATTTATGGAAAAAGAATACTGAAATTATATGTATTCGAGTAGGGTGCATTCGAAAGATAGAAAAGAATTTCAAACATGAAAAATGATGTTTTTCATTGCATCCATTCATAGTTATACTTTTTGAGCTTTAACTCATTTTGCTTTGTCTAGTGATGTAGCTGAATAAAGCAATGCTTGAGGACATGTGGATGTGTTGAGGATGCTAGTCATAAACTATAGAGTTTGTCAAATCATGTACTATGGGTCTCGGTTAAACTAAACCATTGTTAGGTTCGACCACTTGTGGGTAATGTCTAGATTAGGCTATTTCGAATTGTAATGGTTAATCTTTTAGTTTATTTTATTATGTTTATATATACATTTATTTGATTAAAGGATTGAAAAAATGATGTCAATTTGAATATGTTGATGAATTATTTCAATTATGGATGCATTGATGCAATTATGGAAATGGTAATGAGTTGGTTTGAATATGAATGATTTTAAACTTGTTGCCACTTGTTAGTTTCAATCCAATGATGAAAATGAAATGTTATAGGATGTTTATAAATGGTTTAAGTCATGAAAAATTTGTTCGTACTAAATGTTAAATTTAGAAAGCTTTGAACTTTAAACCAAATATGGAATTTCGCTATACATTATGATAACGATTCAGGATAGAGGACACAATTTATTACCTTGCACTCTCAAGTGTGAGATAGTGTAGTAGCACTCTCGGCTCCCTATGGGGCCATGAGCGTTATATATATATATACACACACACACATTGCAATATATTTTATGTATCCCAATAATACGATAAAAAAGTGAAAATTTTAAACTTAGCTTATTTATGAATTCATTAAACAATTTAAACGAGCCGAGCTCAAGACAAAGTCTGAGCTGAACTTGATGCTTACAAAATTTAAATGACCTTAGCTGGATCCTTATATTTTAGATTCGTCATGAACACAAACCAAGCTCCATTCTTGTTAAAATTAAGCGAAAGCTCAAATATTCGTAATTATATTTTATTTTTAAAAGGATGACAAAGTAAAAAATTCTAAAATGTTTTTTTCTCCCAACAATATCAATGGATGATGTTGAAAAAAAAAAGAACTAAGTGACGAGTTCAGGAATTTTCATCAAGGAAGAAGGAGAGAATGACTACACCTACTTTTATTGAAATCATTTGGCCTTATGGACCAATTATCGAGTACAAATGAAGCTCCGGCCGAGAGAACTTAGCTAGAACACTTCAAAATAGAGCTTGATCGATCATTTGAATCAACTATCAAAATATTTTGAGGGCTCCAACCAAGCTTCTGGCTGTGAATAAAGATGCATACAGTCCTCATGAACCATGGTTCATGTCATAATTTCTCATATATCATCAAAACCAAAAAAATTAGACATGAAAATGGCCCTTAGATCACTGACATTCCGTATGATCACTGAACCAGAATCTTCAGAACCTCCTGCCTTAGCATCAGCACAAGCATTGTCTTCTCTTGAAGTTGCTTCCATCCTTATTCCCTTTTGTGCCAAGAACTTCTCCAGAACCATATTTTCACGTTCCTCAAAGTTCTCCACTATAACTTTCTTTAAAGAATGTTGCCAACACTTAATAGGCAACGAGTAGCAGCACTCGAGATCTCCTTCTATGGCTATTTCTGGATCGTATTCAAACTACAAAATAGAAGAAATGCATTAGTATAAAAAAAATTATCTAGCAGACACTATTTTGATAAGATAACAAACTATGCGTAGTTTCATGCTAAACATTAAGAAAAAACTTCAAAAAGATTATGAGTCATTGGATCATGATTTTTCTATGCATATTAGACAATAGAAACAAATAAATCAAGGCATATTTTTCATATTCATCAATTTCTAAGAGACTCCGGTGATTTCACAAATAGAACAACCACATACCTTAAGAGATTTTTCTTTTCTGCCCGAAACAAAAGATAATATTGTTAGATGAGGAGCAAACCAAAGCAAGCTTTCCAGCAAGTCCAGGAGGTCCTCCGTATTTGTTGGAAATTTTGCGACTAACTTCAGATAATTAAGGTCATATAATGGAGGAAGTGAATTGACCCTAAAATCTATAGGAACAATCAACGCCTAAAAATTGAAAGTTGAAAGAAATTAATAAAACATATTGTATCGCATAAATAAACAAAACACAGTGAAAAGATCAAAGAAACAAAATATCATGTGAAGAAAGTCGTACCTTTCCAACTTCACAGGCAATTTCTAACTCTTCGCAGTGGTCGAAGCATGAAAGAAAATCTCTCAATCTTGAGAACCAATCATGAGGAAGCTGAAGATCTACACTCAATGAGATCTTAGCACGGAAAGATGGAGAATCAATGAAGACTTCTGAGGGCATCAAGTGCCCATGGTAAACAAATGTGTTTAAGCTTCGTGCATAAATCTCAATCTTCTGCAATTGTGAACAATTTCTTAGATCTACTGTCTTAAGATTGGTATCGGACACATGAAAGTTTTTCAGTAGTCTACACCCAACAACTTTCAAAACCTCGAGTCGAAAAAATTGAGCAACTTCATGTTTAATCCATTCATCTGTGATCTGAGCATTCTTTAAAGATAAGTATTTGAGGGATTTGCAAGCAGTGATATTGATGCTGGATGATGAATCTGGTCCTCCACTGAGCGAGAAGGATTCGAGATTCGAAGCATTGATATTGATCTTCTCCAGATCTTGACAAAATTCTATCACCACACTCTTCAGTGTTTGGCTTGAAATGTTGAGTGTTTGCATCACTGTACACTTTTCTAGTTTCAGTTCTTTTATGAACGGGAAATTCAAGGTCAAATTCTGGGATGATTCCAATACGAACCCTTTCAAACTCAAAACTGTAATACTTTGGCAAGATAATACTTTCCTCGGCAAATTATAATGCGCCTTAAAAATTAAACCTTGTCCAACAATATCTAGCTCTAACTCTTTCACCTTATTCTCTATTGCATAAGCAATTGCATTCTCAATACCATTATTTGGTTGCTCAGACCTACTCTCTAGAGAAAAACAAAAGCTAAATTTTTGTAAACTAATTTCCGGTGGGCGACGAGAAAGAAAATCACCCACATAACTCAAAAAACGATTTAATTTCTGTTTACCTGTCAACTCAAGGCATGATCCCATAATTAGGGTTTCGTCCAAAATGATGATAGGAAAGCAATTCCATGCGGATGCAAATCTCTTGGACAAAACACTCATCCGTGCAGCTTCTTTGTAGGGTATTAAAGACATGATATGCTGAATGATGGGGCCAGGCAACTCCGAGATCAAATCAAGCTCCTGAATTGGCTTATTGATCATAAAACGTCTCATATTTCTTGTCATCATCTTGTAGACTAGCCTACAATTGTTATCAGAATATGGTCGTCGACAAGTCCGTTATGTAGATATATATAGATAAAGGGGCAGTCAAAATACAGAGTTAAGAGTGAGAACTTGGATAGGATTTTCCCTTTTTTTCCCCCGTTTTTTAGTTCATTATAACTTAGTACCTCTTGAATACCAAAACAAAATAATTGGTAGCCATAGCAACAGAAGTAACTAAATAGTCCCTTGATTGGCCTTCACCATTCTCCATTTAGTAGTGTTTTTATCCAAAACAACCTCCTTTCATAGTCAAATTTTATCATTTTTGCATGATTTTTTCTTTATTATTCTTTTTTTGAATAAAAAAAAGAACATAAACTAAATTATAAATAAATTTAAAATATATTGATTTATCTCAAGGATAAAGAAAAACATTAAGAGAAATTTATGGAACAAGGTAAAAAAAAATTCATAACAAACTCGAACGAGTAATTAAAGAGATTCTATTAAGGGGAAAAAAAATCAAAAATCGTTTAGAAAAAAAGGAAGAAAAATCTAATGGATTCTCAAATTAAACTTCTTAAAAAGAATTTTAGGAAAATCAATTAAAGTTTTGAAAACTCATTTGTGTCCAAAGCATCTAGATTGAAATATGTAATTCCTATGATTCGGATCCAAAATTAAAGAAAAAAAGAATTATAATAAATTATTTGTCATTTAAAGATTTACATACATGATACCGTATCTCTAATGAATACATTATACCACTAAAAACAATCTTAACGTTTATGGTATGTTGTTAATTCGTAAATACGTTCATGTCAAACCATTAGCGGTGGTCCCAAGTGGCAAAGAGTGGCCCTTATCGAAAAATTTTGTAATACTCAAACAAGTAATTAGTATAAATTACTCCATAAAGAGAGATAGACACAAAGAGTAGAGAGAAATAGGAGAGAGAAATTTTTTTTAAAAAAAGAAGAAATTTCAGCCAAGGTAGAAATCTTCTTATCATTTTTTATGGGTCCGAAGTGATTCGTTATATATATATATCTTCCGAAAAGTGAACCTATGAAGTAACTACTATATATATACATACACACTAATTACTTCTTGAGTATTATAAAATTTCCCGACCCTTACCAACCCTCGTTCAAAATGAATTCATCCTATACTATTAAAATTATATTACTTATGAATTTATGGCCACCATCACACCAAACAACCAAAATCGAACCAACCAACCACATGGTCATTTTTCTAACCATAATAATTATCTTGATCATAAAAAAAAGCCACAAATACCAACTCAAAACCATTTCTTCTCTCAAACTCACCACCTATATTGATGATGAGGAGCATTAGAGTAGCCTCCACTCAACCTAGCAAATTCTAGGTCACCATAGACATCAACGTCGATGGCCATAACCTCAACATTGATGAATGGTGACAAAGATCGAAAAAGCAAAAACAACTACCTTTTTTCAACTTCGATCTACACTAGTGTGCTAGCAATGGCTTAATTACACTCGCTTTCAAGGATGAGTTCATCATTTTATGAGTTACAAGGATAACTATTTCATTCTCTAAAAGTTGGTTAGAGCAACGATCAATGACACCAAAAGCACTTACATGTGACAACCACACGTTAAGGTGTTTTGTCTTTTTTGAACTTCTCTTTTTGCTCTTAGGCCATTTTTGAATATTGTGTTGTTGACTTTTTCACATTATTATGAGTCTAGAAGTGTTATGATACATCGATGTGTGTCGAATCTAGAGGTCAAAGATCATTAAGAGATTTTATGATGATAAAAGATCTAAACCAATACTCCACAATGGAGTTAAGAGGATGAGATTAGGTTTTACTTTGAGTATTATTTGAGATAAGTATTGGTTTCTAGTGTTGTTGATTGTTTAGGTACTTTTTTCATGTTTGAGATGATAATTGGTTGTTGGCATGACCATTGTTTTAAAAACTCTTGGTTGTTTATTCGAAATGGCAGAATTTATATTTTCTTGATAAATGGCTTTATACCCCATTCTTACGGCACAATATGTGAATTTATATCTATTTTTACCATTTCAATTTTGTACTCTTCTATTGCTTTAGGGCTATGAAGACTAGATTGTTTTAAAGAATCAACTATTAATTTTTTTATCTCTAAATACATGGGTGAAAGTAACTAATTTTTAACATAAAATCAGAATATATAAAATGGGGCTATCATGCACGCGAGCGTTGACATCCAACATTGGCCTCACGTGCCCGTCATTGATTTTAACCCAAAATTCAGTTTTATAAAATACCAAAAAAACATAAGATTTATAATCAAGCTTAGCTAATTCATTCAGTTAATCATAATTAACGGATCATACAATCAAAGATTCAGCAAAAGCTTTGATACCAATTGATGGATCATGCATCCTATGGATGTGTGGAATAAATAAAAACATTTCTCCATCTAAGGGCTCAAGATCAAGTCGTTGAATCTACTAACCATATATGCATTAATTTAGAGAAATGAATAACGAATTATCTCTTGTAATGTAGATCTAAATTCTTTTATCAAAAAAGCCACTCAAGTGTCCGACCTCCATTAATGATCCACGTAGTCCAAGTACCATAAAGAAGCACTCAAAATTGGTAAGGTGGTAGCTCCACCTTTTCCGATTTATGTAGTGTTTTCTATATGAATCTATTCCGAGCAATTTTTGTGATAACCTTAAAAGAGAAAGAAAGATTATGTTATGCTAGGGTTTTGGAGAAAACTATTTTCTCTTTTTTTCTCTCTCTTTGCTATGTGCCCTAGTGGTTTTTATGGCGAGGCCAAATTTCTCTTTTCCTCCTTTTTTTTTTCTTGTGTTGTCACACCTCTCTCTCACCCATATATTTATAGGAGAGTTTTCTTGTCCTCTAAGGACAAGGAGTGGGGCGGCATTAAGTCTCTTTAAGGATAAACTTGCTCATAAAAGTTTATGAGAGAGTATCTCTAAGTTATTGCTTCCTTATCCTTCAAGGATAAGGAGTTATTTTACATATGGACTTTTGTTCATTATCTTTAAAAAATTCATCTCTATCCAATAAGGTTGATATTTATCCTCCCACCAAAATATCTTAAGGCTCTTAATTAAACTTAATGGGCCAAAACCATTCTAACCAACTTAATTTATTTGAATTATCCAAATAAATAATTTTAGATTATATTAGAATGGTCCACATTATGGCATAATTTTCTAAAATACCCTTTAACCTAAATTAGAAAACTCATTTCTATTTTAGATTATTTATTTCTAAATTTAGAACTATCTTTCAAATTAGAAAACTGATTTCTAAAATAGAAAATTTTTATTTTAGGAAAATTCCTAATTATGGAAACTTTCCATTTATGAAAACTTTCCATTTTGGCCCTTTCCAAAACAAGAAACTTTCGAAATTGGGAACTTTTTCCAATATCTTTGCTTCTTATTCATCATGTGAAGACTTAAACTTATGCATGTGACTCAATAGGCTCCTAGATATGTTGGCAATGTATCAAGAACAAAAGACTCCTTTTTTTATCTCTTAATACATAAATCAAGATTGGCATCTAATAAAGCATCATGATTACCTAATTCTCTAGGAGGATTAATTAATCCATTATTATCTTTCATAAGGATGATTACCATATAATTCAATCCTCATGTCAACTTATCACGAGTGTGATCTCGAACTTAGTTATAAGTATTGTTCGATTATGATCACATAAGTTTTCTTTGATTCTCAAATATCTTAGCTCTTAGAGTAAACCAACTATGCTCTATTATGGCTATAGATTTCTCGAGTAGACATTTATCAAAGTGTAATGTGATAACTCTTTTAGCATACGAGAGAATGACATATCCTATCTTAGACATATATCTACCTCCATTAGATTCCTAATACAACCAATAAATCGCCTACGTATAACCCTTTAATGGATCCATCAAAACGAGTGTCAAAGTGCATAAGTCTTTTAATGTGACAATCGTGATGACATCAAGTCTAAGGAACATTTGTACCCATCTCATATGAGATTTCCATAGACTAAAATCAAGTAGGTTCTCATAGTGAGTCAAGTCCAATGATATTTTCTCCAATATAAATCACCTAAGTGCTTGCTTTAACATCATTATGTTAATAGATGTGAGATCTCCTACTCGCTATCATATAACATAAGCATATCACTCATAAGTCTATTCGTATATAGTCAATGTCCATTTCTTGATAATGTTATGACTTAGGACGTTTAATGATATCATTTATATGAATTAGTGTTTGTCTCACATCTTTCGATCAATCACTATTTGGTATAGTAGAAGCTTCACAATAAAGGAAAAAAAGAATAAATATCGTTGATCCGAAATTCGAATATCGGTCTACTATAACTCGTTAATTTGTGTACAAATACCGGAGAATAAGCTTCAACTTCGTTGATTCAAAGAATACCAAAAATTGGGATAAACTTGAGATACTCTCTCATAAACTTTTATTAATCAAAGAAAGCTTCGTTTTTTAGCCTCAAAGTCATACATAAATAGAAAAATTCGACTAAAACCCTAAAGTAGTTCAAAAAGGAGACAAATACCAAAAAAAAAACCCTAAAAATAAGGAAAAAAAACCTAAAAAAATAGTAAAAATTAATTTTAAAGGCCTAAACGAGTGTTTTTTTGGCCAAAATCATCCCTATTCATGGGCATACCCCATAAGTTTTGCTCATTGGCTCGTTTGACATTGAATTAGGCTTAAAAATCCTCGAATTGGGTTAATAGTGTTTTTTTCCAGCTTCCGCAACACTCATATAGTTTCATGAATTCCCGGGCCTATTGATCCGTATCATTCCCATCGGGAAAGAGAAAATTCACCGAGTGTGCTCATATAGCTCATCCACATCTCGCTCTCGTTGTTGCTTATCTCCTTAGTAGCATGGTCGAAAAGCGATAACCAGTGCTCTAATACTAACCGATGTAGCGGAAGCTTCACAACAAAGGAAAAAAAGGATAAATACCGTTGATCCGAAATTCAAATGTCGATCTACTATAACCTATTGATTTGTGCATAAATACCGGGGAATAAGCTTCAACTCGTTGATTCAAAGAATATTAAAAATTGGGATAAACTTGAGATACTCTCTCATAAACTTTTATTAATCAAAGAAAGCTTCATTTTTCAGCCTCAAAGTCATACATAAATAGAAAAATTTGACCAAAACCCTAAAGCAAGTTCAAAAGGAAATAAATACCAAAAAAACCCAAAAATAAGGAAACAATCCAGAAAAAAATAGTAAAAATTAATTTTAAGGGCCTAAAAAGTGTTTTTTTTTTTCAAAATCACGCCTAATCATGGGCATAGCCCATGAATTTTTCTCGTTGGCTTGTTTGGCATCAAATTAGGCTAAAAAATCCTTAGAATTAGGCCAATAGTGTTTTTTTTTAGCTTTTGCCGTGTTCATACGAGTTTATGAATTCTCAAGCCCGTTGATCCGCATCACTATTATAAATGTATATTAGAAGGAATTCTATCTAATTTCACTTAATTTATAAACATAATATACAAGAACTAATATAATAAATTCTTTATTATCAATAAAATAAAATATGCAATAATACATTAACTCAAGCTCATCCAAACATGTTTGGATCTTTAGGCACCTACACTAACATATGTTACATGGTACCATTAGTATGCTCTTGTTTAATGCTACATCGATAATCGTTATGTGTTTTATTAGTAGGTGAATTCAACCTACATTTATTGGAGTTCACGGATTACATGTTATGTTATTCATTGTATTCATTGTCACAAAAAAAATTTATCATGTTTTATGCATTCAAAGGCAAAAATAAGTGCATGGTTTTCAAGAAAAGGATCAAGGCTAGACATGTTCAATCATAGGCTTGTAAGGAGAGTGATCAACTTTTTGTGAGCATCATAAGCTCCACATGAGACATGTCTAGTGCTTTTCATAGTTTTCACGGTCATGATTTTTATGAAAGGCCAAATATATGCACATTTGACATGGTGCGCTCGATTACAAAAAATGTTTTCCAAAGTCTTAAAAATATATTTCTTTGCATCATACATACATGATTACACTTACTAAGCATTAGCTCATTAGTTTTCTCGGTGATATAGGTGAATCAATGACATGTGATGACTTCATGTGAAGTTGATGATGATGCCAAATGGAATTGAGCTTGCCAAATGTATACTGTAATTATAGTTTAAAAATAGCAAGTTTAGTCCTTTTCCATCTTTAATGGTTTGAGTACTTTTGCAAACTTAGAATGGTAATAAATAAATGATTTTGAGATGTTTATAAATTAGCTTAATGGTTTGGCAGGTTTAATTAAATGGTTAAATAAAATAAATGAATTAAATGGTTCCTAATAATCTAACAAAATGATTTCAATGGCCATAAATGATATTAGACTTGAATTGGTTTTCACAATAAGAATAATAAATGAAGTTTAATGACTTAATAAACCGATAATTGAAATGGATTTTAAATTTTAAATACTTATGGAATCTAACTTGAAATAGTTCTAGTGAGCATAATCTCAAAGAATGTAAGTCATGGTGTGTAATAGGTTTCAAATAAATTGAAGGTTTACTAGTTAATAAAATTTAAAGTTTTTATCTAATAAATAATATGATCATCCAAAAATATATTGATTTTAAATGATAATTGATTTGGTAATTTAATGTTACTCTAGACAAATATGCTTGAAAAATAAATGAAATAATTTCTAGTTATGAATTGATTTTAGTTTTTAAATTAAATAATTTTTCGTTGCATAACCTTTTTCAAATACATTTATAATTATAGTTAAAGATATGAGGCTTATTATCTTACCTTCATTGTACTTCGAATGTAAGATATAACGAGTAACATTCTTGACCTTAGTTAGGTCGGGGTGTTACGAGTTCCATAGTGAGCTCTAAACCGAAGCCCTCTCCTCCACTTGAGATTCCAAATACCAAAAAAAAAATAAAAAAAGAAAAAAATTCTACAAACCTATATCAGCCACAATATATTGTTTGGTATCAGCCAACATATAAAGAGAGAGGAAAACATTTTTTAGGGGAAAGGATCCCAACCAAATATCCTCCTAAATAAAGTGTTAAAAAATTATTATCTACCAAACGCCTAATCCCATCCACGATTTGTAGAACAAATATCCTTCTAGTAGGGCAAAATATTCCTAAAGAAAGGAAAATCATTTTCATAAACTGACTTGTATTTCTAAATAAGAAAGTCTTGCTATCTTGAGAATGAACTACCACTAAATCTCCACAACCATTTAAATAGAAGTGCTTTATTTTTTCCAGCAAGCGAACCAATTCGAACTCCACCGCGACTTTTAATGCGAGCAAGTAAATTCTAAGCTACCTTGCAAAGAGAATTCTTATCCAAACACCCATTCTAAAAGAATTTATACAGAATAGACATCAACTTCTTTTCCACACCTTTCGGCCGCTTAAAAAGAGAGAGATAGTTTATTGGAATGTTAGAGAGAACAAATTTGATCAGGCAAATTCTTTCTCTTAAAAAAGATAATTTCCTTTTCGACTCTTTAAACGATTTTTTACTTTGTCCACTACTGGTTCCAAATTGAAATACGCCTAGGAATTGCACCTAGTGGCAAGCCAAGATAACTACAGGAAAGCTCACTGGCTCTACATATTAGAAGATTAGCCATACTAGAGCAATATGCCGATTCAACATTTATTCAATTGTAGAGTTTTCGAAAAGAAATAGTAATCTTTAACCTAGAACATAAAGCAAACCAACGCAAAATGCATTCACATTCAATAGAGTCTCTAAGTCATTGGAACAAAAAATTACGGTGTCATCTGCATATTTGAAGATGACTAATAGAGAGATTGTTTCCTAGCTAGATCAACACCACTGAAAAACACCAACACTCACCGCTCTAGCAAATAAAACTAAAAGCCCTTCAATAGCATGATTAAAAAGAAATGGGAAATATGGGTCACCTTGGTGAGTTCCTCTAGAGACAATGAATTCAGCATTAGGGGATCCATTGATCAAAACTAACAATCTTGTGGACTGTTACATTGCAAGATTCAACCTATCCATTTAGTGCCAAAACCAATGTAATTCATAATTTGTAACAAGTATTCCTAAAGTATTGAATGAAAAGCCTTTTAAAAATCAATCTTGGAAATAAAACCTTTAATTTTCCTTCTTTTTTTTCAAGCTATAGATTACCTCATGGCCCAAAAGTGTACTCTCAAAAATCTGTCACCCGAGAATAAAAGCAGACTAATAGTCACTGATAACCTCATGCATCATACCGTTAAGATAGAAAGCAAACATCTTAGCAATGATTTTATAGACACCACTGACAAGACTAATCGGTCTGAAAACAGAAAATTTCATCGCTCCTTGAACTTTCAGTATCAAAGTGAGATAGATACCCTTAACATAACTTCGGTTTTGAAAATTTTGAACGCCATATCATAGACTTCATCACCAATAAGATGTCATGCTTGTTCATAAAAATTGAAATTAAAACCATTTGGACTCAATGTTTTAGACCCCTTACAACTCCACACTGCACACTGCACCTAATCTTGGAAAACATTTGCTCAACCTGCAGCCTCTTGAAACCAACCTCACCTATCTCGGGAACACAATGATTAGTGGGAGAAAATAATCTAGAAAAGAAACAAGCATCTTCATTATTTATATCAGAAGGATTAACATAATTCTAACCATTAGTGAAATAGTTGAAATAGCATTCTTCTTCCCTCTAACTGATGTAGAAAGGTGAAAAACTTTGGTGTTGCGGTCACCCAACTTACACCGGTTCACTCTAGCCTTTTGCCTCTATAAAATTTCCAGCTTCCTACCAATAGACCATAAATTAGCTTGATGATTTTTTAAAAGCCTCCACTTCTAAAGAGGATAAAGTTTGAGTTTCACTTGCAATCTCTAGCTCGTTGGCCAAGTTTTCCGTTTCCTTCAGCTTACTCTATAAGTTGTCATAACAAAAAAACATTCTAATTTCGAAGCTGGTTTCTAAGAAGGCTTAACTTTTTTTACGACTTTAAAATGGCCCAGTTATTGTAAACTTCTTTCCACATGCTCTGCAAAAGAATTCTAAAACTAGGATTGAGCCACCAATAATCCAGAAACCTGAACGGCTTTCATCCCCAAATCACTCTCTATAAAACCAGATAGAAAGGGCAGTGATAAGATAAACACTTATTAAGACTACCTAAATTATAATTAACAAACTCGAGCATCCATTCAGGACTACCAAAAGCTCTGTTAATTTTATTCATAAAACCTGCCCAGAACCACTCTTATTAATGAATGGATTAATCTAGAAAACCACTCTTATTAATGAATGGAACCACTCTTTCTATCACTGGATATAAGGGTTTCGTTAAAATTACCAATCAATAGCCATGAAATGTTAAAAGTAGATTTGATAATCGTTAAAGCCTCTCTAAGAAAATTTCTATCAGCTAAAATATCATTAGCATAGACACTAATCACAGCACACTCATAAGCAGAACCTATAAAACATCCATACAAAGCAATCCAACCTGTGCCCAAACTAGACATTACTCACTTTAAAAGTAGCGTCATTCTATGTCATAATCATCCGATGTGACCTACCCTCTGAAGGAATATGAAACCTTTTGACATCCTAATATTTCCATAAACTACTAATGAAAGTGTCCTTTACTTCGTTCAATTTAGTTGATAGGGTACAAAAGACATCAACTTAATATGAAATCACAAAGTTCTAAATAGATTGTCTCTTATATACACTACTTAAGCCTTTAGAATTTCAAGATATAATCTTCATTTAAAAAAAAAAAAAAAAGACTTGCCCAAATTTATAGAGAATAAAAGTACATGTCATACTGTAGCCCACTCCATGTCCTATCTGTGCATTTGTTCCTTTAATTTCCTTGTCTTTATCAATAACATGGACACCAAGAGCCAAACCAACTGATAAGAAATTAGCAGTTCCAAAGCATCTTCAGAGCATGGAGAAATTGGATTTTGAATATTACAAATTCTAAAGTTAACCTTTGCAATTGATGAGTCCATAGAACTATCATTAGTTAAGTTCTCCATCATCCTCCATAAGCTATCCTTTAGATTCAAAACCTTAACCTTGAGTGTTTTCTTTCTCAAAACTTCTGCAAGATATGTAACCCTTCTACTCTTCTTTCTTTGTATGATTCTACTGGTATCACAAGCTACAAAAGGGTTGCTTCTATCTAAAAACAACTGTGAACTATCTTTGTTTCTGTCAGACCTATATAGCTCGTGTAGTGCTATTGAAACCATAGTTTCTCTCATCTCCCAAGTCCATACCTTTCAGAGGCTGGTTAATATAGCCACAACCTCTTCGAGAAAATAGTCGCGCAAGGCAGAATCACTTCTGTCAAACACTGCCTGTCTTTATTTTTCTAGTAAAAAAAATAATTGGTAACAAAATCCTGGCATCCTTAATTTCGCTTGTAAAAAACGTGTTAAAGTTCTCTACCAATCTAGAAACAACGTCTCTAAGTATAATGGCGAAAAACATCAGCATCAACTTCAACGTGTTCCATCCTATTAGCCAAGCCATCATCTTCTCCTGAGAGATCTCTGGAATTGCTAATGTTGTGCATATCAATTTGAAGTCTGGAAAATTAGAGACCATACATTCTTGTAAGCAAATGGAAAATCCGTTCCCTTCAATCACCAAAATAATTTCATCACTTACTTTTTCTTTACATCTTGGGAAGACGAGGACTTTTTCTTTTCCAAGATTCATAATTTGAGTAGTTTCCTTGTCAAAGCCAATGACCCTTCCATGAGATCTTAGAACCTGAATAATACGCTCCTTGTTCTAACCAACTAGTTGTTAGGAATCAAACAAAATAATATAATAGAAAAATAAAAACAATCACACAATACAAAGATTTTATATAGTTTGACAACGACACCTACTCTATGACTCGCATTAGAATTTCTTATAATGTTTTGTCAAATGATTGCTATAAATACAAGTAATGTTGCTTGTATTTATAGTATGGATAACTAGGATAATAAGAAAAAAGGCCTAACAAGCTTATACACTTGGCTCAATATTCTGTAGATCTTTCAGGAGCTCTACCTTTGAGCCCCCTAAGGGACATTGCCCTTGACCCTTGTCGGCTTTGCATAGCATCTTATACTACAAACTTCCATCGACATTAATCTTTACAACTTAACAATCTCTCATTTAGAGATTGATCTCCAAATAGCACCAAACTTCTTGTAACTCGTCCATTTTCTCAACCAACTTCAAGTCCTCCTAATGCAATGCCTTCTCATCACTAATTATGAAGGTCAACTAAGGCAATCCAAATCCTCATCTTATCAATGGTAACTACCTTGATCAACATATTAGTTGGATTCTTCAATCTTAGAATCTTGTTCAAATACACTTCCCTACCATCCAATAACTCTTGAATATAGTAATATTTCAACTCGAATATGTTTGGTTCTTACATGAAAGACTAGATTTTTGACAAGATAAATTTCACTCTCATTGTTACTAAAAAGCTCATCGTTATCTTATGCCTTACCCATTTCTTTAAGGATGTTCTTTAATCAAATCATTTCTTTACCAGTTTCTAAAATAGCTATATACTCATCTTCAATAGTGGAAAGAGTAATACACTTCTAAAGTTAAGATACCCAACTAATAGCAATACCATTCTAAGAAAAAACATAACATGTTATACTCTTTTTATTGTTCGGATCAGTACCTAAATTTATATCAACAAATCCTTGTATAACAATGTTATTCTTCTTAAAACAAAGAGCCATACATAAAGTACCTTTTAGATAAAGAAGAATCCATTTTACTTATTTTCAATGCTTATTTCTCGCATTTTTCATGCACCTACTAACAACTCCTACTACATAAGCTATATAAGGTCTTGTGAAAATCATATCATACATTAAGCTTCCAACTACCAATTCATAAAGGAATATAGATATTTCTTTTTGCTCTTCAAATGTCTTTGGTGATTGCTCTTTTGAAAGCCTAAGGTGGCTTCCCAAAGGAGAGCTTCGGATCTTCCCATCTTGAAAGTTGAATCTACTCAGCACTTTCTAATGTACTTTTCTTGAGATAAAGTTAATGTACCTTCTAACCTATCTCTATTGATTTTCATCCCAAGTATTTATTTTTCAAGTCCTAAGTCCTTCATCTCAAACTGTTTTACTAACTCGTTGGTTGAACTTATTGATCTATTTCAAGTTAAATCCTATAACAAGCATATCATCGACATACAAAAGCAAAAAAGGATAACGACCATCAAACCTCTTGCTATAATAGTAGTGATATATGTTGCATCTCTCAAAACCATTGTCATACATGAATCTATCAAACTTTTTATACCATTACTTAGGAGCTTGTTTTAAACCATATAGACTTTTTTGTAACTTGCATATAAGTTTTTTCTTCTTTAAAACTTTAAAGCCTTCCGGTTGTACCATATAGATATCTTCATCAAGGTCACCATGTAAGAAAAAAAATTTAACAATCTACAACACACTAGAACGCCCTTATTGACGATCCTTTACTTTAGAAGTAGATTTTTTGTAGCAATAATACTCAATACTAGCCTAATCGTAGTCATCTTGATTACAGGAGAGAAAATCTCGGTGTAGTCAATTCTTTCTTTCTATTAAAAGCCCTTTTATAACTAGTCTTACCTTGTATCTTTTACTACCATCATACTCTTCTTTGAACCTATACACCTACTTGTTGTGTATTACTCTCTCTCTCTCTCTCTCTCTCTCTCTCTCTCTCTCTCTCTCTCTCTCTCTCTTGGTAATATAGTTAAAGTCCATGTTTGATTCTTCTCAAGAGACCTCATCTCTTCTTCTATAGCTATCTCTCACTTAATAGAATCTTTCGCCCGTATTGTATCACTAAAGAATTCTATTTCTCCAACATCAATAAGAAACACATAATGCAAGACAGATGAATACCTTTGAGTGGGTCCGAACATTTTTTGATGTTCAAGAAAGAGGAATAAAAGTTATTAGTTCAAGTTCGGCTTCAGCTTTCCCATCTCTATCATCTCGAATTCTCAATCCTAGATATATCATCCTCCAAAATCTTTTAGCTTTCTCATTTTTTTCTAATCGGTTCCCTATACTCGTTAGAATCTATCTCAAGCCTATCTTTATACAATATATTATAAGTAAAAGTTGCATCCCTATACCTTATGATCTTTCAATTCTAGTCATTCTAAATTCGATAACCAAAATCATTAGAGCCATAACAAATGAAATAACACTTTTTAGCTTTAGGACCAAGCTTATTTCTATCATTAGATACTACATGTACATATGAAATACAACCAAAGGTTCTTAATTGTGAGAAATTTACCTCCTTTTCTCGGTCATACTTCCTTAAGTAATTTGAAGTTCAATAAAACTAAAGGTCCTTTATATATGAGATAATCTATTGTATTTATTATATCAATCTAGAATGCTTTGGGCAAACCAAAATGCAATATCATGCTTCTTGCTCGCTCATTCAAAGTTTGCATCCTCTTAACAACACCATTTTGCTTTAATGTCATAGGAATTATGTTGATCATTCCGATCCCATTGTCCGAAAATGCGATAGATATACAAGATTTATTTTCAAAAAATAAACCCATATTTTTCTTGTGAAGTTGTCAAAGAAAGTGAGATAATAGCATGAGCCTCCAAGAGAAGTCACAAGAGCTAGTCATCATTCATCCGTATGTACAAATTCTGGTTTTTTTTTGTTTTAAAGATCTACCAAACTTTAGAAAATGAACTCTCTTTTGCTTTTCATAGATGTAGGCCTCACATAAGCCAACATCAATATGTTTTAATTCGACAATTTTCTCTTTGATGCTAACTACTTCAAACCTTTTTCACTCATGTGCTCAATGAAGGATTATACATCCTATGGAGATATGAAATAAAATAAAAATTTTCCTCCATCTAAGGCTTGCAAGATCAAGTCGTTGAATTAACTAACCATACATACATGAATTAAAGCATATGTAAAGGATTACCTCAAGTAACGCAAAATTTAACCTTTGAGAAAAGGAGCCTTCCAAACATCCGGCCTCTATCAATAATCCACACAATTCAAACACCCATACAAGCAAGCACTCAAAATTAGTAAACTGCTAGCTCCACCTTTTCTGAATTGTTTAGTGTTTTTATTTTAAAAATCTATTCGAGAGATATTTTATGACAATCCTAAGAGAGAGGACAAGGAAGGCTCCTTATTTTTCTTTTATGTCGTATAGCGTTAATTGCCTTACCCTCTTTACCGGACCTCCTTTGTATTTATAAGGGGAGTGTCTTCTTTGTCCTTCAAAGACAAAGAAATGGTGGCAATGTATCCCTAAAAAGACTCTTGGTTTTTGCTTCCTAATCCTCCAAGGATTAGGAGTAATTATGCAAGTAGGCTTTTTGATCTTATCATTTTAAACTTTCGTCCTTATCTAATAAGGTTCATATTTATCCTCCCATTAAAATATCTTACGAGCTTTTAAAAGAAACTCATTTATCCTAAACTCCTTTCTTCTAATTAATTATTAATTAATTTGAACTATCCAAATAAATTAGGTTAGATATTTTACGAGGTCCACATTAGGAAACAATTTTTCAAATTACCCTTAAACATAAATTAGGAAACTAATTTTCTTTTTAGGTAACTTACTTCCAAGTTAGGAAACTAATTTCTAAGATAGAAAACTTTCCATTTCAAAAAATTTTTCATTTTCGAAAACCTTTTCCAAAATAGGAAACATTGAAAAAAATTTTCAAAATTTTTGCTTCTCTTTTATTATGTGAATATTTAAACTTATGGGTGTGACTCAATAGGCTCTTAGATATGTTAGCAATGTATTAAGAATAAAAGACACCTTTTTTATCTCTTAATACATAAATCAAAGTTGGTCTCTAGCAAGGCATCTTGACTATCCAATTCTTTAGGAGGATTAATTAATCCGTAATTACCTTTCACAAGCATAGTTACCATATAATTTTGTCCTCAAGTCAATTTATCATAGTGTGAACTCGAATTTAGATATTAGTCTATTCGATTATGATCACACAAGTTTTCTTCGATTCCCAAATGTCTTAGCTCTTAAAGTAAATGAACTATGCTCTATTAGTGTACTCTTACAATGGTCACATATTTCTTGAGCGGACATTCATCGAAGTACAATGTTTTATCTTAGTCACCTACCTCTATTAGATTCCTAGTACACCCAACAAATCGTTCACATGCAACCATTTACTAGATTCAT